ATATCTTATATGTGTTAGAAACAAATCATACGTACTAGGTAGAGGCTTTGTTGAAGTTTTTGTTGTCGATAGGTAGCGCCTTATGGACGTTTCCGGTGTCGATAAAAATCGGACACATGCCATAAAGCGGTCAGCGAAGCTAACCGCTTAATAAGCAAAACTTAATTGTCCTACTGGTGTCAGGTCATTTCTCTCTAAAAATTTTTCTCTCCCATGTTATTTCTCTCTCCTACCATTTCACGGTAGGTCATTTCACGGTAGGTCATTTCTCTCTCCTTTCTGGGTCATTTCACCCCATTTTTAATCTGGTCTTATATAATTATTTACATTTCCATTCTTGTGTTATTAACTTTTGTCGCGTAAAATAAATTAATTTTATCAATTTATGACCAATAAAATTCGAACGAGAGAATGTATCGGAATTTTATTTTCAGTGGAAAATTTAATATTTGATATGAATGAAAATAAATTGATACCATTGTCCAGCCCTTGCTACGTGGAGGCCTCCTCTGTTAAGAGTAATAATTTTGAAAGAAAATTTTAAACTCAATTAAAATAAATTAATTTGTTAAAGAATTAATTTTTACCATAGCCGATGATGAAGTTTTATCTATAATCTGAATGTTATATAGATACTGATCAAACTCGAATCTTATAAAAATAATACAAAAAATGTTGCTTTTATTGATTGATTTTGTTTGGCGATAAAAATACGTTGGAATAAAAAATAAAACAGTTATAAATTATAATATGTAAATTTTGATCTTAGGGGAAAAAAGGGAGAAAATAGACATGACATAGAATAATAGCTGCAGAACATGACTCTCCGAAAAAATATATATTGACAGACCGGTTCAATACATTTTCTTTTTGGAAAACTACAGTTCTGTAGCAAAAAAATAGATAATTTTTAGAAAACAAAGGATACTTCAAAAAATATATTATGAAACCAGATACACAAGTATAAGTTTGTAAATATTTACCAATATTTATTTTGAATAATTGTATATCATAAAACTATAAATAATAAGAACGTGAAGAAAATAATGACTTAAAAATGCTATCAATATGAAAAAACCTAAAATGCAATATTTTCAAGGTATACAAGATTAACAAAGTAGCCAAACCACATGAATTAACGGGAATGTAACAACGGAAAAAATATCTCTTAAAAATGAATTATAAGACATCAAAAAGGAACTTACTCGATGTGGCAATAGACACCTCCACAACTTCGCCGGAAATGGCTAGTAAATTTTAATACGTTTAATGTACTAGTATATTGCACCATTAAAACGATTCTTACATGTATGAATCTAATGTAAGAAAAATTATTTAAACCCACCTCTCTTTTTAATATAATGTTATCTGCTGTGTTTACCACAATATTTTATGAAATAGAGAATTCATTATCAGGACTGTATAAAATTTTGTTCAGGACTTGTAATCTTGATAATCTCAGTAGATGTCAAATAATCTACTGTCTCTAAAAGTTTCTGTATTCTGGATTCAATTAAAAAAATCATCTCATTTTTATACGTATTTTATCCATGGCACCCAGTTTCAATTGTTATACCAGATATCATAAATTTAAGTACAAACAAAAATATTCCAACTATAACATAAACTTGAACTAGATTTTTGAAAGGGCAAAGACATATGACTCGATCTCATGTTAGCTAAAATGATCTTTCGACTGTTCAATACTTCCGTTTTATTATCAAGGAGACATTTATGAGGTCTTTTACATGTATGCATATACATATGTACGCAAGAGAAAATAATGCAGAAAAATATTTGTAACAATCTGGACATTTTTAATTAAAAATCCATGCATCAGTACATTAATTTTACGTTCTTATAATAAACATTTTAATTTTAAGGGGGGGTTGGAGGGCTGCCACTGTTGGACAGATTAAACATATGTAATTTGGGGGAAAAATGAAATCTCAAAAGTTAAAATTTACTTGACTGTGAAAATGCATACATTTAGGATTAGTCATCTTGCCTAAAATTGTGATCGCTGGGAAGTATTACAGTACATGTAAATGATTTTTTATTCAATGTAATAAAAAGTGGGAACAAATTCTTATTTATATAATAATCTGACTGAACAATTCTTTGTACAAGTTGGCATTTTTTGTCTAAAGACTAAAGGAGATATTCTGTTGTCAATCTGTGAAATCGACAATTTACGGATAAACATATGCACCCAGCATGATGATAAAAAAAAAACACCTTGTAGGGTACCATAAAACCGCAAGACAGCAATTACGATTTCTAACAATTATTTATTTATTCCTGATAAAGACCATAAACGACAGATGACAGGACAATAAACAAATTCACTGTAGGTCTAATTGATAATGAATTTTAATTGTTAAAGAAAGAAGATTAAAATAAAATATTTCTTTTATCGCATTTAAAAGTTATTCTATATTCTATTATAGCTGCAGAACTGTAGCTCTCCGATTTTTTTTTTTTTTTTTTTGTTGACAGACCGCACTGTCAATACACATTTTTCAGAGAGCTACAGTTCTGCAGCTAATTCCATTAGAAAGAAAAAAAGACAGTAAGTCTTAGCTATAGAATTAATGAATAAAAATAAATAATCATGTGCCTCTGTCCTTTTGAAAAGCTAGTTCAAGATTGTATAAATTTATTAATTAATACAAAAAATTAACAAATAAAGGAATGAATTAAATTATAAAAGAATTCTAAAAAAAAAAATAATTATTCAAAAAAATGAGTGAAAGCATAAATGTTTAAATTATGAATAAAATAAACAATAAATGTGTGAAGTCATAAATAAATTTTAAAAAAATACATCTGTGAATTAATGAATAAATAAATAAGATGAAATAAAATAAATAAAGTTAGCGTTAAATTCAGCGTTGTGATTAACAAAACTTAATAAAATTAAACTTATTACACTATAATTTTTGTGTTGGAGTGAAATGACCTAGGTTGTGGAGAGAAATGACCTGGGTAATAGAGGGAAATGACCCAGGAGAGAGATGACTTGGGCGGAAATGACCTAGGCGGAGCAGATACTGGGGAGAAATGACCCGGATTCGTCCTACTTCTACCTCTTGTCATGGTTCCTTTATGCATTGTTGTTCATTTTCGCGGTTAAATTCCGACAAAACAAAGATGAGTGTGATAAATAGGCCAAGTATTTAGAAAATATATAGAATCAATGAAACCTCATTTATTTGTCAGTTTGTAGATATCTGTAGAAGATTCAAATAGTTGATACATCGTGCTATTAACTGATAAATTCCCGTTGAAAACAGCCAATTCTGAAGCCTAAGAGAATGAATTTTAAGGACATTAACCCTAAGGCACCTGTCGTAATACTGATGTTCCCCAGGTTTATTTTATTACAAGGAGAATGTGAGGCAAATTTGTGCGAGAAACCTTGTCAGCTTAAAACTTAAAAGCACGTGGAGCTGTTTATGACTATATTTAACAATAAATTTTTAAGGGGGCCGCCTAAAGTTCTTTTGTGTGAAAACCTACATTAGCAAAATACTACATTTTTATACCATATATAACTTTCATGAACTTCAGCGTACATGCAAAGTTTGGGGGAAATCTACCTTCCAGTTATTTTTTAGGGACCGTCTCAAAATACAAGTACATTTACAATAGGATTAAATAGGGAAATGCCAATTTTTAGCACTTTAAAGCAAATTATACAAATACTACGATAGACATTTTGTTCAAACTATAATATTTGATGAGTAATGCTATATTATACAATATATGTAAGAAACACAAAATTCTACCGTCTTTTTTACCGTAGGGGAAATCTCAAAATGCAAAAAAATTAGCAAATTTTACTATATTTTTAGAGTATTACAAAATATGATGTACACAATTAATTCACATGAAATGATAACAAAAATATTGGAGATATTCTCAAATTTCTATGTTTAAAATTTCAAGAGCATATGTTTATTACTTTTTCTTTAATAATATTTTTACTACCCCTTTCTTTAACAGCTACAAATTATCATAACGTCAAAAACACACTGCAACGACGTCAACCTACCTATCAATTGCAAAATCGGTTTAAAAAATCAGTTATATCAAATTGTACATACATTTTTATTCCTATAATTTTTTTTATTTTGTTTAATTCTAATGAATAAGCGAAAAAAGTTGCATTAAAACAGTAAATAAGCTTCATTTTACTATGATGCGCGATATATGGCGCAATGGAAACTATAGTCGGCCCCCTTAAGCTTTTTCCTCAGTAAAATGTGGGGGTTTAAATTACCTTATGATATACATTAAGAAATAGAGAATATAATTAAGATGATCGCTGGCTGATATTATTTGTTACACAGTCAGTTAGTGACCTAATACGGATTCATACAGGGTGTGAAATGGAAATCCGTATTGGGCGAGGCGAAGCCGAGTCCCATACGGATTTCCATTTCACACCATGTATGAATCCGTATTAGGTCACTAACTGACTGTGTTACGAATTTATCCCGCTGAAGACCTTTTTCGATATAAAAAAAAATATTTGTGCATATTATGAAAATATGAAGTTTTAATCCAATAACAATCAACATAAAATATCATTACAGTAACAAGAAATTTAACTAAACTACCTACGTAAATTATTTCTTAGCCGCCAATTTTATTTACAATAAAAACGCTTCGAACGGAATCGCGTGCCCGATTTTCATATTACGCTTCGACGGAGACGTAATAAGGAAACGGAGACCTAATACGGAAAATTTTAGGGTGTCACGTGATCAGCTTTTATCCATTCAGTAATCGACAAATTTGTCTGAAGCGGGATGATATTTAAAACAGTTGTTTAGGTCATTTTTGAACACTATTTGGCCTTTTGATTTTCCATTTATACTCATTAAATTAGTATGCAAGAATTATTCAGTAGTTTGTACTCAAGAATTCATTTACATTTAAATATTTATTATTCTTTATTTACAGGGCGAAAGACCTAGAAAGCAATTAACAAATTAGATGATAAAATGGCATCTAAGTTTTTGTCCACTGATCAACTAAACTTTACTCGGCTAGGAATTGGGTGTGTGGACATAATAAAACTAGCTTTAAGGGATATTTTGAAAATTCATATTCAACCTAAAGATTTATACATCGCCATCAATTCCTGTTCACAATTGAAAACTGGAAGATACAAACTCCGTCCGGAGCAGGAGAGGTTTTGCTTCTTTCCTTTGCCTCTTGTTCCTGACTATGATAATTTTGACGTGTCCTTATTGTACACACTGATACGGTATCTTTGCCCGCACCTTTACCCTGCTCAGGGATGGGGGAATATACCAACTGCTGCAGACATGCAAATCGGTGATGATATTGAGCGTGTAAGGATCTTCAGAAACAAAATGCATGCACATTTGAAGTCCTCATCCGTTACTGACATAGAATTTACGTCAAAATGGAAAACGCTGAAAATTATTCTTGTGAGAATACAGAGGTTTGTGATATCAAAGGGCTATAATGCTAACTATGAAAAAGAAATAGAATCCATTGAGAAAACTGATTTTGGAATCAGAGATTTAGAAAGATGTTTATATTACTTGGAAGCTATGATGCAGCTTTTAAAATATGAAGGTAAGCAAAGATTGAAGAAGACATATATGATTTTTAATGATTTTTGACAAGTGAATTCATTTTACATACGGTACAGTCATAGATGCAATTTATTTTAATAGAAATTCCAAGAATCTCGATAAACGGTAGAGATAAGGTACTATGCGGGGAAACAACTTTTTTGGAGGCTACAGTGGAACATCCATTTAAGGCTGACACCTTTATTATTATATGGCAGAGAGTGAGCAGGAATGGTCCATACTGGATAAATACAAGATTAGAGAGATACGAAGGCAGCACCAATAGACGACTGGTGATAAAGAAAGTATCAAAGGAAGACGAGGGTGAATACCAAGCTCTCATTTCTTGGGAAAAAGACGGACAAAATCATGATTCCAAGAGTAATTGCATCCTTTTGAATGTTCTAGGAGGTAATGTTCATATTATATTAACCAAACACTATTATAATTGTATAAATCAATTTAAACTAGTGTTAATTGTAACGGAGTACCGTTACAGATGTTCCCCAAACGCTCCCCAACTCCCTTTTGGTGCCATATTTCCTGGAAGCTTCATTAAATATAGGAAAAAATCGATGTATTTGAGACTTTAACAACGCCAAGTTCATTCAAATTTTAGCATTGCACGCGTGCGTATGTGAATGCATGTGCGTAATGACCACATCATCTTGTCTACACAATCTATATATTTTTTATAGACTAAATATTAAAGTATTGAATCCAAAAGTTAAAAAAACCCCGGTCATTCAAGTGTATTTTTGATTTTATCAATTTCATGTGCACGCACGTGCATACATGTGCATGGTGACCATACCTTTTTGTAGAAGTCCATTATATATATATCTATGTTCCAAATCCCATCATGTTTGGTTGAAAACCAAGGGAGTTATAGCTGTTTAAAGTTTCAGCCAATCAGATTGCAGCCCACGTACACGCACATGTATGTATGTGCACGGTGACCATAACATCTTGTAGAAGTCCATTATATATATCTATGTTCCTAATCCCATCCTGTTTGGTTGAAAACCAAGGGAGTTATAGCTATTCAAAGTTTCAGCCAATCAGATTGCAGCACACGTGCATGCACATGTTTTCATGAAAATTGCTATATATCACGTTGTAGGATATCCTAATGCGTGGCTTTGTTGAAAATTTCAAAGGATTTCGTCAAATAACAAGAAAGATATAGAGACTTTAGTTTCAGCCAATCAGAGCAAAGCGCACGTGCATGCGCGTGAGAACTTGCTGTTTTGACAATGTCATCTTGTCTATACTACTAATATATCCTTACATTATAAGTTTCAAAGCATTTCATAAAAAATAGAAAAGTTAAGGCAATATACATTATATTGGCCATTTAACGTGTTGCACGTGCTCGCTCTTGCAAGCACGTGCACGCAAAATGACCTTCGTTTGGCAAATCTACATAACATCCCTACTGACCCTAAAAAGGTTTTACCTAAGTCAGATGTGTAGTTTACAAGATCACTCATGGACAAAATTTTCCCAGGAAGAAGAAAAATAATAACAACTAGAGCCGAGCTCGTTGCAAAGCAACGAGTAGGTCTTCCGTCCTATTTGACCGGAAGTAGATTTCATTTTAAACAAAAGTGAGAAATAATGCCTAAAAATGGTTTGAATCCTCTAAAGCTATGTTAATTAATGCAAAAATATGCAAAGTTTTGTTACTTCCGGTTTAACCAGAAGTGATGACGACGGACGGAAAATTAATTTTTATGCTCTTAGAGACATATGTTACCCAAAAACTTGACAAGAACGGCAAAAATATGCGTTTTTGACTACTTCCGGTTTGGCCGGAAGTGACAACGTCGGATGTATTTTGACGACACAAATAGATTAAGCTTGGCATTTTGAACAACTTTGCTTCTTTGACGTATTACAAATTCTCAATACTTTTTGAGATATCAATTAAAAACTTTTGGCCCCTCTAGATCCCTTATTTTAGGGGTCAGCCCTTTTTTCAAGATATCAATTGAAAGATCTTAGAATTCTTCACAACTTTTGTTCTATATGTTTTAACAAAATATTTACAAGTAAAACGATATTATAGAAAAAGTGTGAGAAATTTTGAAACGCTCAGTATTGCTTTTTTCAGACCATACCGAGCGTTAACGTGCAGTACTTCCGGTAAAAGTTAACAACACAATGCAAATCTACATTTGTTGCTCTATCTTCCAGACAAGGTTTCATCTTCCTGTGATGAGCGGTTTTTAAGAAGAGCGACGGACAAAATGACCCTTAAAAATCACAAAATTGCGAAAATCTTCGAACCGGAAGTGACGTCATCAAAATGAAAAAAAAATGCATCAAGTTTTCAATATGTTCTATCAGACCTGAAAGTTTCATAAAAATCTAACGAGCCGTTTTTGAGAAATGGCGTGCACAAAATCTGGGAGAAAAAAAATAATAAGAACTAGAAAAGAAACTCGTTGCGAGCAACGAGAGGTCTTCCGTCCGATTCAGAAAAAAAAACGTAAAATCAAAATGAAAAAAGTGATTTTAAAAATCGGACACAAGGGGGGTCGAACCCGGGTCGCCAGCGTGAAAATCCATTGCGGTACCCATTACACCTTTGGGAATCCGCTTCAAATTTAACATTCGAATATCGCGAGATTGGTTTTCTCTTTGATTCCAACATACATTACATTTTTTTTAAAATTCAGTTTGGAATTGTAAAATGACAGCCAGCTTGCTAAACTTTGCTCAAGATGATCACATCGGAATTTGTTACTTGAGTTTTAACAGTAATTTTTAGGATAGATATTCTATTTTTGATGAATAGATGATACTGCTTTCTTTCCTTTTTTCGATATGTATTCAACTTTTTTTCCATGCAACTCCATATACAGGCATGCCAATGTTATATATTTCTGCACTATTGTCGCCATTAGTCTACTACTTAAGTCGGGTCACGATACATTATTTCTTGCCAAACGTCACAAGTAGTTCTTAACGCTTTTCCTTTGAAATGTTTGATCTATTGAATGGATGAGATAACTTCAATGAAAATTAGAAATGTATGTTCTTATAACCGGAATTTCAAGCGTTAGAAAGTATATTTATCACAAATATATTATCGTATACGGCCAAATGACACTAAAGCAGTGAACTTGGTAAAATTTTCCACGAATTTTGTATCCTGTTTACAAGTTTTCCCTGGTTCAAAACCAAAGGTTGAAGTCGTCGTATTTCCACTTGTAGTCATGTTGTATTCTACTTTGAGATGCAAACAAAAGCAATTTCAATAGACGTTTGAGGAAACCTCATATTAAAACTATACTCAATGCATCGTAATTGCAACGTGGCAATCCAAATAATCCTTTACATTTCATAAATATTTTTGGTAGAAGTTTCGTTCATCTAAACGCTCAGCTGACCTTCTAGAACCCGACTTGCTTAATGGCGGAGTTCACGGAGACGCCCCGCCATCTTGGACACGCTTCAGATTTTTAAATGCGAATATCTAGTGTGTGGATTGATCAATTCTAAAATAAATTATATATTAGGCCTTTCCAGTACGGTTTCCATTAACATTAATTATATCAAAGAAAAATATTGAAAAACAAAAAAAGTTGAAAAACTGCACATTTTAAATTCACTTCCTGTAGCGACCGGAAGTACTGACGACACAAACGAAGGCAAAATTGCACATCTATAACTCATGGTCTATCATCTCTAACAAGTCTCCAGTTAATATATTGAGCCGTTTTCGAGAACACTCGAAGACAAAATTGCATTTTAAAATCAGGAAATTGCCCATAACTTGGCACTGGTAACGAATTTTCAAACAAACGGAATTTTATATAAAATTCATATAGTGACCTATTATTCCTGAAAATTTCAATGAATTCCACCGAATAGTTTACGAGAAATCGCCTGCACAAAATTTTGTCTAAAAAAAAAGAATAATAATAATAATAATAAGAAACAATAGAATCACTATAAGGTCTTCCGTGAAGACGGAAGACCTTAAAAACAGTGGAAAAGAAACAAACGAATAACAAGAAGGTCTTCCGCTGAAGACGGAAGACCTTAACTAGATACGATCTCGTTGCGAGCAACGAGTGGGTCTTCCGTCCGATTCTTGATAAGATGAGATATGATTTTGATTGAGATTTTCATTTTTAATAATGATAAAGATTGTAAAGAAGATTTTTCTTTATAATCAGTAAACAGACATTGAACATTAAGACTTAAAAATTCGACTTTTGGCCCCTCTTGGCCAATTATTTGAGTGCCCAGCCCCTTTTTCTTCATTTCGTCTTAAAGCTCTTATGATTTTGAACACTTTTTGTTCAACAACTATTCAGAGATACTCTTTCGTTTTCGAGTTATTTGCAAAAGAAATATTTAGGGGCCAACCCTTCAACTCCTTAATGGGGACGTTTAGCGAAAAATGGAAGGTTGCATATTGTTCAGAACCTGATTTTGAACATTTTTTGTTCAATACTACTTATCAAAATATTAAAATATTACTCAGTTTTGAGATATAAAGCGTCAAAGATTTAGCAGTCTGGCCCCTTGTGGCCCCTTATTATGTGCCATGCGACATAAAATCATAATATATAGTTGTAAATCATTGAAATAAACCTTTTTGCTTCAGTAATGTATTACAAAATATTGAATGCTAAAGAGTTATGGATTGAAGACTTTTGGCACCTTTTGGCCCCTAATTTTAGTGCCCAGCCCCTTTTTCTTGATTTTGTCGTAAATCTCTTATGATTTTGAAAACTTTTTGTTCAACAACTATTCAGAGATTTTCTTTCGTTTTCGAGTTATTTGCAAAAGAAGTATTTAGGGGTCAACCCTTCAAGTCCCTAATGGGGACGTTTAGCGTAAAATGGAAGGTTGCATATTGTTCAAAACTTGCTTTTGTACATCTTTTGTTGAATACTACTTATCAAAATATTACTCAGTTTCTAGATAAAAAGCGTCAAAGATTGAGCATTCTGGCCTCTTTTGGCCCCTAATTATGTGCCACAAGACATAAAAATCATAATATACAGTTGTAAATCATTGAGATCAACTTTTTTGCTTCAGTAATGTATTACAAAATATTGACTGCTAAAGAGTTATCGATTGAAGACTTTTGGCCCCTTTTGGCCCCTAATTTGAGTGCCCAACCCCTTTTTCTGATCTCATCTGAAAGCTTGCAGGATTTTGAACACTTTTTGTTCAATAACTATTCAGAGATTCTTTTTCGTTTTCGAGTTATTTGCATTAGAAATATTTAGGGGCCAACCCTTCAAGTCCCTAATGGGGATGTTTAGCGAAAAATGAAAGGTTGCATATTGTTCAGAACATCATTTTGAACATCTTTTGGTCAATATAACTTACCAAAATATTTCTCACTCTCGAGATATAAAGCGTCAAAGATTTGGCATTCTGGC